CATTTCCTTGGCATCACAGTCAGCATGGTGCCTTGTGGCAGCAATCTACTAACTAGTCTGCTTTGTAGCCTCTGGACTGGAACATCCGGGTCAGTTTCCTGCAGTCATCAGGAAGGTGGTCAGATATGGCCTTGATTTTGTCCCATAGGAACAGCTGGTGCCCTCATATCTGGAGACTTGAAAGCTGAGTATCGAGGACATGTAGACACAGACTCCTATACTGTCGAGGCACTGGCCCTTCCAGTCTACAGTGTTCCCATTGTAATCAGCCCTGCAGAGACTCAACAATGGCTGAGTTGGGCCATGGATGCCTCAAGAGGAATGAGATGTCTCTTTCTTTTTATTAAAGAAATGTATTAATTTAAATTTATTAAAATTGGTAGCATCAGAGATTCAGGGCATCAGAGATCGCCATCAGTGTCTCCCTGTTGGTACCAAGTCCTCATAGAGGCACTGGTGGGATGGATGTAGCTGGCAGCTGCTGGATCTTTGTCAATATCGGTAAACCTAGATGCCCTCTCAAGAGTGTTAGGATACTCTGAAACCCTTCAGGATTAACAAGAGGCTGGTGATGAGTTGACTGCACAGTTCCATTCCAGCAGTGCCTCTCTGATTCTAGCAGCAGGTTTCACAAGTAAAGAGTGAAAACAACATTCATGGAGAGATGGGTAAAAAGGAGACTGAGCAGAGAGTTGAGGAGGAGAATGTGGGAGAAAGGCAATAAACACTGAAAAACTGCTCAAGTTGAGGAGAAAAGCACTTTCTGACCTAGGCATGTAGTGGAAAAGGAAGTGGGGAATGGACAGGGCCCCTCCCCTGGATGCAGGGTACAGAAAGAGGAGCTCCCACCCAAACGAATGCTTAGCTGTAGAATCTTCCCAACAAGAGGGCCCATGCAGGCACAGAGCACGTGCACGATGCACAGAGTCTATGAAGAAGGATCCCAGTGCTCATGAAGATGCCAAGAAAATAAGATGCCAAATTAGCTCCCAGTTACCCACCAAAAGTTACCCACCACTGGTAAAGAATGAAGAGAACTGTTTTCAAAGTAACACTCTGAGACAGCCTGCGGACAAAGTCAGTGTCTCTAAACAATCTTTTCCCTGGTTTGGCAATCTTGATCTCAAAAGGCCAAGCCTCACAACAGCTTCTCCTTCTGGATCTCTGGTGGAGGACTGTCAACATGGAAGCCCAACACCGAAACAGCTAGTCACATTACAAGGTGCGACCCAAGTTAAACAAGGAGATGGAGTAGGACAACATGCTGGGCATCTCCCTGCCTAGAACAGGCAGAGAGCAACAACAAGGATGAGAAGCAAACAATGCATGAGGACAGAAAAGGTAGACATTTTCAGGAAAATAAAAGAGGAGTTAACTTTATGATTAGACCCACATTCAGGAACACCAAGCAATACACACCAGATTTTTAAATTTAAATCTGAATTGCCTTTAGATTGGAATTCTTACATGGTGGCATACAAGATAAAACACACACTACAAAACCATGACATTAAATTAAAAAGCATTTACAAATAAAACCAAGAACCCAAAATACGATTATGAAAAGGCCAACAAGAACAGTTGGGTGTTTAGAGCTTTACAGAAAGCTTGCAAAGAAGTCACCCAGCAAACCTACAATGAAAACACATTCTAGAGGTGACTATCAAAAAGGCCTTTCTTTATACTCATCAACTTAATCTTCTTTGGCAATGGGTGAAGAGGATCCCTGTTGGGTGTTCATGCACACGAAAGACAGTGTGTGAATCCACTCTAGACTCTGCCTGTATTGTGGCATGGGTCTTGTAGCCATCTGGCCAAACAAAGGCCTCCCAACACTGGCTTAAGGCTCTAAAGATGAAAAGCAGCTCTTTAAGTCTGTCTCGGAAGCATTCTGGCAACCAGAGATATTGGCATATTTTCCAGGGCCAGTGGGGCCCCACTGCCTCGGATGAGAACAGGGAGGCCTGAGAAATGAAATCTATGGGCAGAGATGGCAGAGGAAGAGAAGTTTATCTCAAGGCCGCTGTCTCCAGATATTCAAGCAGGGTCTGGAAGTGCCAGGAGGGGACATAGGAGAGGAGCCAAAAGAACCTGGCCTGACCCTTGACCCCATGGCATTGCTTCAGGAAAGCAATGCTAGACAGCTAGAGGCTTGTGTAGCTCTAGGAGGCTTGCCCATCTCTACAGGGGCACACACGGAGGGGTAGGTTACTGAAGAGGGACTTGGAAACAGTCCCTAGTTTGGGTTTGGTGAACCATCCGGTGCATGCTCAGAGACCTTCCCTTGTTGCCCAATACCTTACCAAATGTACACTGGAAATAAACTGTATTTGCCAAAGAACTCTCTGTTGTTTGAGAGATACTTCTGAGTAGGGAATCCGATTCCTGACAGCACCTGGCACTGTATCAACATCACATCAGCCAACTGCAGCCCACCCCCCAACATCTGAGCAACCTTATTCTGCACCAGATGAAGTTTCTGAGCCATCTTTAAAGGCAGCTTCCCACAGTACATGCTGCAGTAGTCTGGCCTGTATGTCTACAGAGCATGGATACCTGAAGCAGGACCCCCTTCCCCCCAGAGGACTGCAGCTAGCAAACCAGCCTAAAACTCAAGGCCACTACAACTACTTGAGTGTCCCCAGTTAGTGGAGTGCTAAAGAACTCTACAGTGGTGCAGAAAACCCGGGTCAGACAAGAGGGTTTGTGAAAACTCTTTCACTTATGTGCACACCTCTTTATCCAAAGGGCTTCCATGCCCACAGGAATGCTGCCTCACCATGGGATGGATAGCAGATGTGCTGAAAAGGCAGATGTTCTCAGTTCCTACTTTGGCTCAGTCTTCTATCACCTCTATCACCTTCCTGCTGAAGGTGAAGTACAAGATCTATCACCTTCCTGCTGAAGGTGAAGTACAAGCTGAAGGAGCAGGATGGCAGCATAAGGTTGATAGGCAAAAGGGACTCAGGGTTCATCTAACTGAATGAGTTCAAATCACCAGGGCCTCCACCTGAGAGTCATAAAGAAGCTGGTAAAACTCTCAGAACCACTGTCTATTCCCATTGAGAAATCAGGGAGGGCAGGGGAATGGCCAGATGACTTGTGAAGGACAATATTGCCCCTATCTTTAAGAAAGAAGAACCTGGAACAACAAATCCTGCCAGACTAATCTGAATTCATTTTTTGATTGAGTAACCTCCCTGAAGGACTGTGGAAATGCTGTGAACATAATCCATCTTGAATTCAGCAAAGCCATTGTCAAAGTGCCCCATGATCTCCTGGTTAGCAACCTAGCTAACAGTGGGTTACGTGAAATGACAATCAGGTGGATTCACAGTTGGCTATAGAATCAGACTCAAAGAACTCTCCTCAATGGCATCTTCTCAAACTGGGGAGAGGTAACAAGTGGGGTACTGCAGGGTTCAGTACTGGGCCCAATGCTCTTCAACATTTTTATTAAGGACTTAGATGAAAAGGTGCAATGAATAGTGATCAGTTTTTCAAATGACACAAAACTGAGTGGGATAGCTAATACCCTGGAAGACAGAAACAAGATCTAACATGCTCTTGAAAGACTGGAGCATCACGCTGAGAACAACAGAAAGAAATTCAGTAGGGACAAATGCCAAGTTCTACACCTAGGAAAAAGAAACCAAATGCATTGTTACAAGATGGAGAATACTTGGCTCAACAATACTGCATGTGAGAAGGATCCTGGAATTGTTGTAGATCACAAGTTGAATAAGAGTCAACGGTGTGATGTGGCTACAAAAAGGGCAGATGCTATCTTGGGCTGCATTAATAGAAGCATTACTTCCAAATCATGTGAAGTACTAGTTCCCCTTTCTGCAGCCCTGGTTAGGCCTCATCTGGAGTACTGTGTCCAGTTTCTTGTTCTCTCTCTCTCTGTCTTTGAAACCTGTCCAGTCTAAGCTTAGAACCATCATTTCCCAGCCACCTATGATCCATTCCATTACCTTGATGTGAGGGGACTGCATTTTCTGGTACATGTCCAGGGAGTAATGATGAAGCCACATTTCAACAAAGACCTAGGAAAGGAAGGACTTGATCATCTGGCTGAGAAGGACATCCTGGGGGTAATCCTTGTTCTTAGGATTCTGGACTGAACCACTGGGGACATTCTTGAATCAGTTAGAACAAGTTCCAGAGAGCAGTTGCACAGGTTAGGTACTCCTGCATGATTTCATTTTTCCAAGTGGGCACCCACAGAGTTTGGGATGTTGGTGCAGGGGCTGGCAAGGTGAGGGAAGGGAAGGCCCCACCAGCCTTCTTAATTCCTTCAGCCCCTTGTAACAGGTTATCACCATGGGTTTGCACCAGAGTGCAGGAGGACTGATCATTCTTTGAAAGGTGTACCTTCCTCAGCTGTGGAAGCTGAACAATAAATATCCTTCTGTTGTGAAGTCCTCCATTCCGCTGACCGAAATCAACCCACAAGATGCAGCCCTGCATTGGCACAGCATCTAATGCATCTGACCCCTCCCCCCGAAGCTCCCTACCAGAGGCTCACCTGAAGTAAAGTTTCTGATCTCCAGATTTCTTGTGAAGCAGGGTCAGCATTCACTGAAGTTTGGTGAGCAACATGCCTTTTCAGAAGGCTTGTGGGATGCATCCCATATGAGGTGAAAGGCACTGCTGGAGATCTTGAGGAAGGGAAAAGACATAGGCCAAATGAGATCAAAAAAGGATAATCAAAACACCACTATGGGAACACTGCCTGCAAATTCAAGGCCACAGTGCAGCTGTAGAGAGTGAGGAGCTACTATTGTGAACCTGAAGACAGAAGGCCCCAAGCAGGAACTGGTGTGCATGCATGTGCATGCAGACAGCAATGTCTTGATACAAGGGACAGCAGGCCTGTCAATTGGAAACTTCAGTTTTGCTCCTGAAGTGCCCGTGCCCTTTTCAAATGCTCAGATTAAAGATGCAGCAGCCTAAAGTAAACTCTACATAAAATGCTGATTGTCACCCAATGAGAGACGCTTCCACTGAGGAACTGTATGATTTTTAATAAATTGACTGTTTTTCCAGCCAGCAAAAACAATACTTCTGAAGCAGAAAGCATTTCTATTTTTTAGATAATGAAGATGACCTCCTGCTGGCTTGAAGAAGCTTCAGTGGCTGCTCCAGGCTGCCTGCTTTTGCCAATGAAGCCAACAACCCATCTGGTCACTATCATGAAACTGGGCTTTCACCTGGCTTGTCAGCAAGGTCAAATGCCAATTGGAACTGACAAATGTCTTGGGTAAAAGGTGCTTTTCCTATATTGTCAGCCAGGAGACCAAAACATCATGATCTTGCAATCTGGAAGAGCAAAACCAGCACTCACCGGGGAGCAGGTGAAGGGATAGCACCTCCAGGATCTGAGGCAGAGGGCAGAAGGACATTGCCTTCTGTGGGCAGAAACCACTTTAAGTACCTATCCACTAGGACGAAGTATGCACTGTTGGACATGCTGACATGGCAGGTTGCGGGGATGTTCTGAAACACAGACACACCCAGAGTACAGACAGTGTACAATCCTTCAAACAACGACCCAAAGCCAGAGCCCTCCACACTGACTTCCCACACCAACAGCATGCTCCTCCCCAGCCTGTAGGGAATGTCTCTAATCCTGCTGCCCACTATGGTCAAGGCTCAGTAGTGAGGCTGGCGAGGACATGCTCACAATCATGATGCACCAATCAGCCCTCAGCAAACCTTGCTTTCACCCCATCGTGCCAGGGTCAGGAATAGCATGTAAGTTTGGGGTTAACGCAGTAAGCACATATTAGTATCAAGCCCAGTCAGGCAGAGTGTTTCAAGCTCTTCAAAAAGGTCTTTCCACCAAATGCCTGGATGGAGCAGGCAGAACCATCACTGTGAGAGCCACAAGATTCAGCAGCTTCTCATGTTGCAAACAAGAGGTGAGGCACTGAACAAAGAGACAAGCTCACTGGTATTTACCCTCTGCATAATAAGGCTCAATGCAAAATAGAACATGTAATATTCATATGGATCTGAGGAAGCAGGGTCAAGGAAACAGACCAACTGTGAACAAAACGCAGTAGCAGTGCTTTAAATCGGCATTTTATTTTGCTTTTATTTTTCCCCTAAAATATTTTTCTCCTAAGGCTAGCCTTTAAAACAGGCACAGCAAGTAGAAACCCAGTAAATGTGATAAAAACAGAAATGTAAAACTCTAAGGGAGAAAACCAAGACAGCCAATGTCTATTGGGGTACCTCTAACCCAAAAACAAAGTTCAAGGTTTGCTGGCTGCATCCAGAACCATCACGTCCCACTCCTACAAGACCAGGAAAGCATCCTGGAGAGGAATCATCTCCTTGTCCCCCATGCACTGGAAACATAGATGGAGAGCCTCTGGCACATGCACTAATTCTGCCTGCCTAATGGCCTCAGCTAAGGTTCCTCACTGAAGCCTTCAGAACTAGCAGGAAGAGGTATCTCCACCATTATTACTTATACCATATCAGAGATTACAGTGAACAGCAGTCTGGGTGCTTTGTCAGCTTCCTTCAAGGAAGGCCATGCTGTGGCATGGAGGAGCCCTCCACTTGGGGCCTTGGCCAGGGTGCTCGCTGTGTGCCATGCACGGAAGGAGGGCTCTTGCATCCAGTGCCTCAGGCAGGGTGGCTTTGCTTGCCACACATCCCCCGCAAGCTAAAGTATCAGCTGGAGGAGCTGTAGCCTACACATCAACCAGGGAGCGATGAGGTCAGTGTATGTGAACCCAGCCACCAACATCTGAATCACTCCGATTCTGGAACCAATCAACAAGTGACCTGGCTCTTTTGGAACAGTCTGCTGACAGAACTCCATCTGTACCAAGCTGTTCTGACAACAGCAACACTCTAGGTATGTTCAGCTGCTGCTGGGTTTAAAGACCTATTGCATGCCTGGCGAGAAGGAAGACTCGAGAGAGAGAGAGACAGAGAAGGAAGCCTTTGCTCACCCAGAGAACTGTGCTGGTTCCAGGCATTATGGCAGGCTCCCCACAGCCACAGACTGTTTGATGCTCTGCTTGGGGCCAAATGGCTAGCTTGATCAGAGCAGCCTGTCCTCATGACAAGCCTATCCCTAGTTCACCTATACAAAGAGACGCTATCCTGTAATCACTGTCCAAAGGATACTCAGGGCCAAGTTCAAACTCAGGCCTCCAGCGGGAGAGAACTGGACTTTGTTGTGGTATAAAGAACACTCTGGCAAAATCCGTTCTTGTATTGAGGCTTTCACTGGGCCCTGAAAACGAAGGAACAATGCAGTTCCACATACATCATTATACAAAAAAGAAGTATGTGAAGACAGAAATAGCATTACGTTGTACAAATGCAGTTATTTGAACCCTGTGAAGCGAAAGAACCACCAAACCATGCAGGAGAGCAAGAGCGAGGGTACATACATGCTTGGCTGTGTGGGGCAAACTCTCCTGCCTAAACTGGCCTTGGCGCCAGCACAGAATCTGCATCCCACAGAGGTTGAAATTTTTTTTTTTTAGGTTGAAATTTTTAGTTAAATAAAAACATACTACAAAGGTACAAAAAGGCCCAAAAATTGCAAGATTACAAAAATAGAAAGTACCCCATCCGTTATTTACATGGTTTCAAAATGCCAAATGTACACACATTTACAAGATTCCCAGGCTTTACAAATCAAATGTACAAAAAGAACTTTGTATAGACTTCTCCTGATAGGTTCATGCCATGTGTCTGAGCAACATGTATGAGTGATTTACAGACATTACGTTGTCGGGGCATGCGCCCCACTCAACCACGGCCATAATTTCCTCCACCGACTGGGCGGCATCCTCCCTTTTTCCTCGCGGCTCAACCAAAAAATCTTCTCTTGGACAAATTTGACTGAGCCGGCCACGTCAGCCACCTTTTGTGTCTTTATCTCTCTGTGGCGTTGGAGGGACAGCGCCAACAGAACGTACAGATTTATCAGCCTAATTGTGGACCACGGCACAGTCCAGTACGTCTTGGGAGCCGTGGTCTCTCTCCACCGCCGCTTCTTGAGGGGAGAAAAGGGCTCAAGGCCACAAACACAAGCAAGGCAGCACCGGGCAGAACACCAATGCTTCTCGGCCACTGGCACAGGACTGTGGAGGGAAGCCCAGGCCAGGCTATGATCTTGCCCTCCCCAGATTATGTCTTTCAAGCAGCCCCTTCTCTGCATTGGCAGGGGGCATTTGGTTTACCATCAGCCCCTTCCCTGATTCAGATTAACCATTTCCAGAGGACTCTTCAAACTGCTCAGGAACAATTCCCCAAAGGGAGCAAAGGACTCCAGCCGGGGAGGGAGGCATCAGCTCACATTGTCCAACCCCAACATCCTATCCCACACTAGGCCCTGGGTTGCCACCAGTGGCAGGCTGACACGCAGCAGGGCAGCAGGGGCCACTGAAGCACGGTAGGCTGGGGGGAGGGCCCGCCGCCTTTCCGCCTACAGGAGACAGGTGGTTACTTTGCAGAGAAATGTTTTCCTGCACAGCTGATGGGTATGCACAAACACTTTGCCCTTGTCAGGGCTGCCCCATTTTGCTGCCTTACTGGCTCCCACAGGTTATGCACCGTTACTATTAGAAGAAATTATATCACAAACAAGTTGAAATTCCTTTAAAAATGGTTGTTGCTTTTCAATATTGCCATTTACCTCAGAAAGTTCCTACATGATGGGGTGGGGCCCCATTCTCTTTCCCCCAACCACTGATGGTTTGGTGTTTTCACATGCTGACCCCCCCCCCGCCCCATTTTTGAAGAAGAAATGGCTTCCCTGAGGCTAAATCACTGGCAGGGAGAGTTCTGAGCTGCTGCTTTTTGCCCATTTCTTCTGTGATATGGGACCCACTCCACTCACCTTGGCCACGCCGTCTTTGCTTTCAGACACAGAGCCCACCCGAATGTACCCCACAAGTATCTCCAAAACTGAATCCAGCCCTTAAGCTGAAATGGTTCTTTACTGAAATATAAGATCACTGATACTTCCATGTGAAATATTAAGAACTAAAGAGTGTGGAACTGTATCTCTGAGTACAAAATATTGAATATGGTATTTCTATCACTTTATCCCCATGTTATCATATCACTCTCCAGGAACTGACTGGAAGGTATGACACAGGAAAATCGTATCTGTATTCCTCAGCTTGGAGCTTGTAGACCAGCTTCATCATTGGACCTCTGCAAAAAAGTGGCAAGAGAGAAATAGTGAGAAGTTCTTTAGAAGCAGTTGCTGCAAATTACTGGAATGGACAAAAATGAAGCCTACCCAGGATCTAGAAAGTCAAGGGCAACACTGTATTCAGTAGGGTTTGTTCTTCCCTGCAGACAGCGAAGGTTCCACCCAGAAATGATGCCATCCAAGCTGCCAAAAATGCTCTCTACCAGCCAGGGAAAGATGGCATGCAGCTCCTTTAGAGTAAAGAGGGGAAATATTATTAAAAGGGGGGCACACTGTTTGATCAAAAGATTGCCCAAAGCTTTCAAGCATACAAGATATGGCCCACCCTAAAACCTTTTATTTACTTATTTATAAAAGTTATTACCTACTTTTATTTTCACTAATACCCAAACAGGTTACAGTACTAAAACTCAACCATATATTCGACCAACAGAAGAAGTAAAACTGGGAGATTACATAAATAGGTAACCATCTACAAAACACAGCAATACCAATTCAATCAAAGACTGAACAAACAAATTGGGTCTCCCAGCTAAACCATGAGGTTGTAAGACTCCATGGCACTGTGTTTCAAGGGGGTGGGGGGTGCTGTACATATTAGTGCCTAGGCAGTTCCATAAGGGCGGAGGTACTCTGGGAATCTGGGTCCTAAACTGTGGGTGAGGAAGAGATAGAGATGCCCATTCTGCAGGGGGCAACACTCTGCCTCATAGCAGACAGGAGAGCAAGCAAGCAGCGCTTCACTCCTTCTTTGCCAAAAGAAGCATATGGCCCCAACTGACTGCTCCTGGGTTTGCAGCCTCTGGCTTCCTCCAGCAGCCAGGGAACCACAGGCTACTGGGGGCGTGCATGCCCCCAGGATGCTCGTGGCAGTGGGGTGACCAACCTGGTCACGTAACAGAGAACGAACAGCTACAGGGGGCTTGCTTTGTCCCTCCTTACCAGAAGCAACCCTTGTCAGAACTGTGAAGCCAAGAATGAGACGTCTCCTGCACCACCTCCCTTCTCTTTTTGTGTTGTGTCTTGCAGGTTGCAAGCCTGAAGGCATGGACCTAGAGAAGTCCTCCCTATTCCTTGCTGTTTTTAGTATCTTCAGCTCACTATGAGATTTGCCTTCCTAACTCCACCTTTATGAGTCTGGGCAACTCTTGTCTGTGTTTAATGATCTTATGACACACATCTCACCTCCTTTTGACACTTCTGAACCACCCGGATTTCTTTACATGTATCCCATTTTTTAACAATGTCTTCGGAATTTCGGCTTTCAAAGGCTCCTACCCCTTGGACTCTTTTTTCCTTCAGGATTTCTATACATGACTCGTACCAACCTATAGTTCTCTGAGCTTTCCAAAACTTACTTTTCCAAAGTACAAGGTACACATCCAACTAAATTTGGTTTTCACAGCCCTCTCTATTACAAATGCCAAGATGCCACAGTTACATTTCCTAAACTTCCCACCACTTTGACTTTATTCTGCCATCTCTTGGTCAGAATTAAATACAGTAAAACCTTGGATTGCGAGCATAATTCATTACGGAAACATGCTTGCAATCCAAAGTACTTGTATATCAAAGCAAATTTCCCCATAAGGTTCAATGTAAATAAGGTTAATCCAGTCTGAACTTTTTTTTTAATCAAAAAATTTGAAGCGGGTGCGCTCAGGGGGGCAGGCGCAATCATGGGCGCACTGGGGGGGAGGTGGGCGCGATCACAGGCGTGCTCGGGGAGGAGACAATGCTGTACTCACACCAACAGCAAGAGAGAGGAGAACTGGCGCCCAGCTGTGCCGTGACACCCAGCAGGCAAAGCACGCGTAATACTCATACTGCAAGACATCACTCGTTTATCGAGTTAAAATTTGGAAAAACTTTTTGCTCGTCTTGCAAAACACTTGCAGATCAAGTTACTCGCAATCCAAGGTTTTACTGTACAGGACAACCGATCTCCTTACTCTTTCTTCCACCCTGTAAGAAATCAAGTTGTGAGCAAGACAAGTCTAAAACCTACTGGATTTTCTATTGTTTGCAGAGTTAGACTTCCAGAAGTTATCAAGATGGTCGGAATCACCCACTACTGCTGTTGCTTGTTCCTGTGAAAGTTTTGTCACCTGTTCTAGGAAAATCCCACTCATGCCTCCTGGCTGGCTGGGCAATCTACAGCACGCTCCCACAACAGTATCACTTGTTTCTCCCTCCTTTTACCTGAATGCCTTCCACAGGACTGTACTGGACAGATTCAATGCAACCTCCTTTACCAGAGGTGGCATGTCTGCAGATACCAGCTGCTGAGCAGCTTGGTCGGGTGGAAGTGTTGCACACATCCTGCTTGAGGGATCCTGTGGGCAGCTGGTTTGCCACTGCCTGTCCAAAGTGCTGGGCAAGATGGACCTTTTGTCTGATTCAGCACAGTTTTTCTTATGTTCTTCTGACTTCCATTCCCATAATCAAACTTCCAAACAGTTGCAAACTTTCCTTAACTACAATGCAACCCCCCTTCCTGTTGGATCTATTAAAAAACAAACAAGCAAACTGTACCCTTACCTATACAAGTCTTGGTGATATCAGAATTGGGGATAAAATCAATTTGTTTTTTTAAAGGATTTTAATTTAAGAATTACTTTTAATTTTAAAATTGGATTTTTAAAAATAAAATCTTTTTGAGGAAAAATCTATCTAAAGATAGTTTGCTATTTATAGTCCAAATCATGAAATAAGGGTTCCTTTTTAATTATGCAGTATGAGGTTATGTATTCATGTCATGTCTGATTTTTTGGGTAAATTAATTACATTAATCCATTCACAATGTCATGCTCTTCCAGAGGTTTCCGTAAGATTACTGGGAACTTTTTCTATCTAGAAGGTATTATCACAAATGCTTGGCTTTACAGTTCTCAAAACTGTGAATTTGTGTCTGCAGAGATCACATGCCTCTTCTTCACATCAAAAATGTTACCAAATAAGCATAAAAAAGTTGAGAAAAAGACTTTAATCTCATTTTTCCTTTGCAAATGTATGTACATTGAATCAACCCCTTATCTCTTGAGTGCTAAACTTCAAAAAATTCAACAAACAGAAGAAAGCTATTGGGAGTGGAATAGATCTGCACAAGAAGCTACATGTGTGTGGGGGGGGGGCGGAGAACAGTAAAAGTGAAACCTTTTGAGCAGAATACTCCACAAGCCTTTGGATCTTTCTGTGTTTGTGACCTGAGGTTTATCATATTCTTTCCCTGGAGGAGAAAACCTATAAAGGCAGCAGGCCATAAAAGAGCCCCAGTTTGGGAATATTTTAATGAAGTTCCTCTACCTATGGGTAAGGCAGGCATGCATGCAAATTATGTAGAAAACCATATTTTAAATCTAGTCTTACTGACTAGTGATTTAAATCATATCCACACTGGATACCTATCAGATCACAATTACCACCTTATATTAGACACATTTGGTGGGGCACAAGGGCCCTCACGACGGATGTTTTCAGGCTCTGAACTCCAGGCCAAGGGATGTGAGGAACCTCCCCCTACAACCATTGTCCCACCAGCAGTAGGGCAAAATACTTCTATTCAAGCAGGCCCTTGGGGTGTGTCAGGTTCTGGGGCATGGGCAGCAAGAGTCTTTGCAGACTCCTGCCAGGATCAGGGCAACAGGAGCCAAGACAGATGGAGAAGTCAAGTCAGAGAAGCAAGGTAAAAGTCAGAAAGCAGGAATGCAAAATGAGGATATGCTCATGGCCAAGTCAGAGTTCCAGAATGGGGATGATACATAGTGCAGGGAGTGCAGCCATGATCAGGATGGGGCAAGAGTGGGCACCTAAAGCACCGTGAACCAGGCAGGATCCAAACTGGCAGAGGGTGCAGTGAAGCAAGGAAGGGGCCTGGATCAAGGGAAGGTCAGGCAAGATGTGGGAGCCATAGCTAGCAGGGAAACCAGTGGAAGTCTTATCTAGGTCTTGCTCTTATCTAGCTCTTCCCTCAGGTCTCCCAGCTGACACTCACCAGGCAGCTAGAAGCTTCAGCAGGGTGAACTCAAGTCTGCAATTACCCAGGTGGCTGCTCCTGTTCTGATCACCAGATGAAGCTCCAGAACTGCCCAGATGTTGACTACATGTCAGTGCACTCCTGCAGAAGGGGCTCTTCCACTGCTCTGCACTGCTTATCATCTTTCTTAGGAAGTTTTCAATATATTTGTTGTTATAACTTAATCAAGATTTTGTTTTCAATCTAGATTTTACTTTTAGACATTTTGAGCACCATTCTTTGAAAGAAAGGCAGAATATAAAATAAATAGTCAACACAAGCACCTTGAACTTGGCCTAGCAGTTAACTGGCAGCCCATGCCACTCCTTCAGAACTGGTGTAATATATAAGATGTCCCACTCAGCAGCCTAGCCATGATATTTTGCACTCACTGTAGCTACTAGGCCAACTTCAAAATACAGCTCCATATAAACTGCATTACAATATCACAAACTTGAGTTATCGTGCATGAACCTTTGTAGCCAGACTATCCAGAGCTGGAAAATGGTACTCCTTGCAATGGAAATTATTTGTGCCCCCAGTGACAGTGCCAGACCTACCCAGAGGCCCTGTAACTTACCATCCAGTGCTTTGACTGCCAGGTAGAATACCAGAATGAAAAACCAAAATTGCAGGAGGAAGGTACACCTCAGAGCTATTTATTTCAGCTTACCTGTTTGATCTGGAAAAGTGTCTGCATTTGCATGGGAGCTAGCCCCACATTAACTCGCCAAGTCCAGCTGTAACATGGGATTGCACAGCACACACAGTTTGCCTTATTTTGAAGCTAACTTGAACCCATACATCTTCATCAAATAATGTTAATGCTGTTTCTAAAACAAAACAAGCAAGGAGATACTATAGGCCCGGACAGGTAACAGTCATCCTACCTTAGCAGGATAATCAGCAATGATGGTCACAAGATCATGACACCTCTGGACGAAAGGCTTGTTCAGACAGTCATTCTTTAAGCTAGCCTATTTTTAAACAAAAGGGGAAATATATGCATTTCTACAAGACAAAGCAAAAGAACTTATCTGAGACTTAGAAACAAGGTCTTCCAAAAATAGTATGAGGGACCTAAATATGTTTAAACTTTAAGGAGAAAAGATTGAGGGGGGATATGATAGCAACTGCCCAAGTGCATCAAAGGTTTGTTACACAGAATGAAGCTGGAACCTGTTCTCTTTCATCCCAAACTGTAGAAGAGGAAACAACAAGAGGCTTAAGTTAGATCAAAGATTTTGGTTGATCAGTAAAAGCAGTCAAAAAGACCCAACTGCTAGGAAGATGGTAGATTCTCTTTGTATCAGGAAAGATTCAAGGAAAGGGAGGACAGTCATTTGTCAGGAATGTCTTAAACTGGACTCCTGCACTGAGCATGCATGTTGGACTTAGTGGTCTAACAGTCCCCTTCAATTTTAGGATTCCATGACTCTGGCCAACAATTACTCAGCATTAGCACTGTACTGCCACAGGTCATTGCCATACTGCTAAATAGGCCTTTTCACAAGATAGTCCTGGGTGAGTTGAGAATCAACATTCAGATTTCTGTCATTAGCTTGTGGGTTCATATTTGCAAGCAAAAGTGCTGTGTTGGTGTTTGCCATACATTAGTGCTTCCAGAAACAGTCCATCAAGTAAGTTCACCAAATGCAATCTCTAACTACAGTCAATAAGCACATTGTCGGATATTAAATTTGCTAAAGACAATTCAACATTCCATTTATTGAGAGTGAGCTGTTTCAAAGAAGCATGAAGTCAAGTAGAAAATCGGCTGCTAAAGACACCCACTCTTTACAAAATATCTCATAAAAATCTTTACTTCTTTGTCTATCATCCCTCAAATCAGAAGGTATTTGGGACAAAGTTCTTAACAAACATACCCGGAAATCAAGAGGCAGAGATAAAATAGTAGTTGTCCAAATTCAATCCTGACTCTGCTGCAGTGTTTTAACTACCCAGGCCTAGACTTCAGTGTGACACATATTTTTTGCCCTCTGAACTGGGAGAACATTCTATTGAAGTTTACCTCTCAGCAGACATGTATAGAATTGCACTATAAACCAGTCAGTTTTTTAATCTTAATGACTGTCCTACAAAATGTTGTGCTGTTTGGTGCCTCAAAGCAATAATGAAATTGATGTCAACATTATTTTACAAATAGGAAACCGAGGCCAAGTCAGCTCATTCAGATCAAGTCACAGCCCTCAAATTCACGGCCCAGGCTCACCCAATACAACAACCCATTAAGGGCCGATTTATCTCGAGCTGCTGTACTGCATGTAGGCAACCGTTATAAATATACAATCCATAACTGAAGGCTGCCATGGCTTGTTTGTCATGGCTGCCAGGAATTATTTGAAACAGCTCTGGCGTGGACAGTTATAGGGCTATGGGGGAGGGAGGCTGCAAGGAGTATTTGTATAAGAATTGGCACATTGAGAGCTGGCCCAGGCAGCAAGCTCCATGCTAATTGGCAGATGCAAAAGTTGTATCCCAACAAATATCGAGGGCACCAGCTTGGGCAAGTGAACCTACCTTGACCCGTGTTCTAGAGGAAATGCACTCACCTCCCCCAATACCAAAGGCATACCCAAGGGCGCTACCCCAAGAAGCTTTTGCCTGTCCGGCAAAATCTGCAGCTTTGTTATTGACCTCGGAGAAGAGGGCTGTCTTAAGGAGGAAACGGTAAGATGGCAAATTTGGCACCAGGAGGCCACAGCAGGAAGGTTATCCAAAGATGGAGGACTTTAGCCCTTCCAAGGGTCAGAAAGTGCCTCCGACAAAACGAGGTCAAGGACCCGCCACTTACCAAGAGAAAACTGGGCTGCGGGAAGTGAGAGGCCATCTCGGAGCTTCGCCAAGGGCCGAACGGAGGCGTCATCTCGGCCAGCTGCCAAGAGGTGAAGAGGAGGAAGAGTTTGGAGCACCGCAGCGCCGGGAGCTCAGCCTGACCCGCGCAGCCCGCTTCGAGCGCTGCCCGCGCGCGGCCTCAGAACATGCGCCGCGCCGCAGGCGGCCCTCCGCCTCCGTCCTCGCCGCGGCGACACGGAGGGTGGCGGGAGCCAGGCCACCTCGGAGGCTCGGCGCGAAAGGGTGCCCGGCTGAGCGAGCGGACGCCTCCGACGCGCGCCAGGGGGCCGCGGGCGCGCACCGCTGCCGAGCGCGAGGCGTTGCGCGGCGCCGCAGCAGTAGGCGCGAGAGTGTGACGTCGCCGCCAGTGGGCGCGTCCGAAATGACGTGAGAGGCGCCCCGGGGCGGGGCGGGCTTCTTCACCGCGTCCCGGGCGGCTGGCGCGTCCCAGGGGGTGTGTCCCGCCGTGTCCCTCTCCTTTCTCGGGCGCGCAAAGCGGAGGGAGGCTGGCCTGCCGGCGCGGCTTGGAGCCCGAGCGACCGCCGGCCGAGACACCCGCTTCCGGCCCTCCTCGCCGGCGCCGCCCCGCGAGGCCAGGCTCTTGTGGCGGAGCCGCGGTCTGGTAGTCCCAACCCGCAGAGGATGGCGCGGACGAGCTCGCTTGGCCCCGCGCGGCCCGAGCCTGAAGCAGGTGTTCGCGGCTCCCCCAGGCTGCACCGCGCGGGCCGGCCATCTTTGGCCAGTCGGGCGGGAATTGCAGAGAGCGGCGGGAGGCGTGCGGGAAGTGGTTCTGGGCTCGTGGGCTGCAGCACCGTGAGCACCTCCTGGGCAAGTGGGCTAGGAGAGCGGGTGCAGGTCCCCATGCCCTGTCACAGAGAGGCATGGCTTAGTGAATGCTTCGGAGAAAGCCATGAAAAGTGCGGGCGTTCATAGGGCTTCCTGGGTCTCCAGCAGTAGATGGTGCATCACTCCTAGAAGAACAAGGGACAGGTTCACAGAACTTGCAACACTAGTTTTTACTTGTGGTTTTTGCAAAAGTTGGTCTCATGTCATCCAAACCACTATTTCCACATGGTCTGTTGAGCATTTACAAAACCGCAGGCAGGCTGTGTTCGCACATCACAACAAGCTGTGGCAGACTTACGTGTGAATTCAGCAAGCATGCTGAAGTGTGGCATGTTTGGTTACCTTGAATTTGCTAAAAGTTCAAGGAGCCTTTGATTCATGCCCATTGCCCCACCAGGTAATGGCCTTGAGTGGGTTGCATGTCTGAATATTACAGAAACATATGCGTTTGGGGCATGTTCTGACAGACAGAACTCGTTCAACTCCCCATCACCCATGCTTTTTCACAACTTTTTCTCTGCCCAAACAGCATGTTGAGATGGAAAAAGTCCTACAATGCTGAACCGAAATGGACTTGTAGCCCAAGTTGCCATTTCATACAGAAATTGCAGAACATGCCCCAGAGATCCTGCTGGCAGTGTAACCCGGTCAGACTCACAGAAAAGATGCACTGCTCTTGACTTACATTTTGCCTAGTGACATCCATCCATCCTTTTGTCCAATACCAGAACCCATCTCAATATTATGGATGTGAATGTTTCCCATAAGAGGTAGCCCATGGCATTAGAATGTGAAACAGGTCAACTGCTTCTCTGAGATGACATACAGAAGCAGCAGCAAAAGTAGAATAACTGGAAGAGAGAGCATGGTCAGGCCAAGTCTTACCTTCTTTATGACCTCATCAGGGAACTTTTGTTTAACCTCTCTTGCTCAGCTTTGCCCCTACACAGTAAAGGTGATGGCTCTGCCTCATCCTGTAGGGTTCTTCGTTTTGGAAAGAAGGTTTGTGAAGAGCGCTGCTTGCTCCAGAAGTCTATGGCTTATGATTCCTTATAGCATTTTATTTATTTTCTTATAGCCTTTTTATCCTTTCCTTTAGAGGAGTCTCAGGACAGCAAAAACAAAGAAAGTGGCGGCATACAATGAAGTATAAATCTAATAAAACCCAATATTAAAATCACAAGTCTCAAAATACAGAGTAAATAAAAAGGGGTTGGCCTGGTGCCAACACAATTAAAGTGCCGGTGCCGGGCACACCACTCTGTGGACTCAGAGTGCCACCGCAGAAAAGGCCCTATCACTTGTTGGGTGCCTGGCAGGGGCAACCATGACCATTTGGGCATGCTCCTCTGACTCCGTTTTTGCCCTTGAGCAACTCACATGATCCTGTGCTTTCCTGTGATCCTAATAGGAAAGATAACTTGCAGAGCCCTGATTCGTGCAGGAACATTCTGCTTCAGCATGTCAGTGATGCTGCTGTTGAGAAGATCCTGCAGTCAAGGGAGCAATAGTTCCACTTTCCGGTCTCAGGCATTTTGCTGGTTGAAGCACAGCATCAAATTGCAGCCTACCATATAAAACATCTACTTTTTACCATATAAAAGATTTTCTAGCTTTTTGATTCCCAAGTCTATATACTTTTATCTTGGAATCGGCTTCTCTTACATTAGCACTTAATGCTCCTACTACTGTAGTTCCTAAACCTGGTAATTACTGAGCTAATTGCCCACATATTGCATTGACTCGTGTTGAGATTAGAATATTAACTACTATTTTGGGTGATAGGCTACAACAAAAAAATTACAGCGTTATTCCAACTAGATCAGGCAGGGTTCATTAAAACCAAACAAGAGGCTGATAACTTTGGACTGGTTGTTGATCTGATTAAATACAACAGAAGTCATTATTTCTTTCAATGCAGAAATGGCCTTTGCCAAATTAATAGAAATTTAGTTTCAATGCACTGGGAAATTTTGGGTTTGCTGCAGAATCTCAGCAATGACTTAACATCTTATATTCAACTTCAGGTGCTGGAGTCTAGGCCAGTGGGCTTTCACCTACTTATTTTTTAAACTTGAGAGAGGTGCGAAACAGGGATGCCCTCTTTCTTCATTGCTACTTGATCTATGCTTGCAACCTCTGGTATGTACTGTCTGATAAAACTCTGATATTCATGGATTTGTACACAGAATTTAAAGTTTCTCTTTGTGCTGTTGACCTTTGACTGTCTATCTTGCAACTCCAGTCAATCTATTACAGCTTTGATGCAGAAGATGACTAATTCTGGATGTCAATCTGGCTACTCTATCTGGACCATGTCTGAGCTGATGTTGATTGGAAATGTAATGCCTCATAGTATGTGAGCTAACTGCAATTCAGACTCTGCTCAACATTTAAACCTACCATCCCCAGGAAAGTCCGAAGGGATTGGGATTTGACATACCACTTCTTTGTGTTCCTGCGACAGTTGCCATTCTCATCTCACACTTCCTGCTGCATAATTTGTGCTTTCTTTGTGCTTTCTTCTTGGAAACCTGTGAGCCCCTCTTTGTGCTTTCTTCTTGGAAACCCAGTATTCTCGGAGCCCGAGAAAATTGAGTAGGCTGATAGTAGCCTGTGTGCATAGTTCTGCTGTTTCAGCAGCTAAAAGAACATCATCTACATACTATAGTAAGACAGTGTTAGGTTCTGTAGTCCATTCAGCCAAGTCCTTTGCCAGGGCTTGAGGAAAATAGGAGGGAGAATTTTTCCAGCCCTGGACTAGAGAGTCCTATGTAAGCTGGCCCTTGGTCCCATCAGGCCATTCCCATTCAAAAGCAAATATTGGTTGTGATTCTACTGCCAGGCTAATTGGATGGAAAGCATCTTTCAAATCAATTGCAGAGAACCATTCATGCATAAATCCTAGGACTGTCAGTAAGGTGAAAGGGTTTGGGACCACCAGGTGAATTGTCACTGTACATTTATTAGTCTTAAATCCTGCACCAGGCAATATGACTGGTCGGTCTTACACAGAGCCAAAATTGGGGTATTCCATGGGCTCTGGCAGTGGCGGAGTAAGCCACAACTTACGAAAGCGTGTATGATGGGTTGGAGTCCATTCCGCAGTTCTGGCTTGAGGGGGTATTGTTTAACACGTACTGGAACTTGTCTAGGAATGAGTTCTACTTGGACCGGCTCTGCTTTATTTGCGCACCCCAGGATTTTTGTTGCCCAGACTAAAGGATAAACTGTCTTCTCAACTTCTGGGGGAATTTCCAGTGAGTTGATTGGCGCATCAGCATAAGCCTCCATTCTTCCTCAGGGTGCAGCTTCAGGTTTGCTGATCCGGAGGTGAAAGAGATGGTTGCACCTGATTTGCACAGTAAATCACATCCAAGAAGTGGGGTAGGACAGTTAGGGAGCTACCCAATATTGTGAGTGAAGGATCTCTCTCCCAGGGAGCATTATAAAGGTGGGTGGTGCAGGGCCCTGTTGCACACAGGACAGCGGTGTGCTGGTTGGTTTTCCAAGTAGGGTGGGTAATACAGAGCAAGCTGCTCCAGTATCAGCTAAGAAGTCTAGGTCGAGATCTCCGACCTCGTTTTCACCCGGGGCTCCAGGGGTGGTTCCAGACTTTGCCCGTGACCTCCCTAATCCTCCTCTGAGTCCTCCAGGACAGCTAAAGGAGAGGGGCTAGAGGACTTCTTCTGCACTAGTGAGCATTCATGCTCCCAATGTCCCTCTTTAGTGCATTAGTTTTTCCCAGGCTTTCGTTGGGAGGGTGTGTGCCTGGGGCTTTGTTGACAGTACCTGTTTCTGCTGCTGTCTCATTGTCATTCCTGGCAAGTGCTGTATGCTTGATCGGGTTGTATTATCATGGCCATCAATTTTACCTGTTTCTTGTCCTTTTGATCTTTTTGTTTAGCCCAAAGAATATCACGGAATACCTAGAAACCGATGGGGCCACATCCTCCTCTGGGATGGTAGTGGTGCAAAAGATCACAGGCAGGACTTTGGTGTCTCCCTTATCACCATTAGGAGGTGCAGAATTTGTTCAGACAGAGGCTTCTGTATACTCAATATGTACCATGCCTTTGTCTCTTGTAAGGAACTCAAGGCAGCTTGTATAATGCTTGGCCCAATCTGATGCTCACAACAGCCCTGAGTGGTAGGATGGGTTGAGATTCTGTACCAGACCCAATGTCAGTTGGTGAGCTCCACAGCCAGGTGGGCACTAGAAGCCGGATTGCCCGAGTCCCAGCTCCAGCCCCAGCCCAGCATGCTGAATCGCTGCCCTGTACTGGCCGTGGGAGCGCTTGCTGCTTCA